AAAGAAATTGAGTTTTCACCACACCTTAACCACTTTTGCCATAATTGGTTAAAAAAGTGTAGTCAAAAAGCAAAAGTAACTAGTAAAAAAATACACACCAATTTTTTATTTGTAAAAATGTGTGTTCTCATCCATAGAGAATTCAATGCTGTTCTTTACAATGATGTATATGATTAATTTCTGTAACACATTACAACATACCACATGCGACCACGGACCGTGACCGAAAGAACTTATTATTTGTGATATTAGGAGGGGTGCATAAGTAATGAAAAGATTTATACTTTTATCGCCTCATGATTGATTATTGTTTGTTACTATAGGACGGTACGGGAAAAATGCAATTTAGATTTCCTGGAGATATTACGGACAAAAAGGTCACCTTTTTGTCGCGACACCAAAGTGTGTACTGTCGGTGTATAAAACGTGTTAAAAATCGTTGATTGAGACAAGTTAGAGTTATTAATTTATTCAACAATCGCCAAGAATGCATTATGCACGCCCCGCACCAAGTTGCATGTCGGGAAAAAGTTAATTGTCAAACAACATAAATTTTAGTGCAATTACGACGCTATTAGACACGTCACACGATTTCCTAACCCCACACATTAAGTAATGTATTCAAATGCCACAAGGGGAATATGGAAGGGGAGAAAAAACTGCTTATGTCATTGTGCCCTATGGGAATGCACCAATAAATTCAATATTTTTATAAGACTGCTGTTCTCTGATACTCTGTTAAAAACAGAAAATACCAGCATAGTACAGAATACTTAATACTCAGCTAGTATAAGGCACGCTTGCGTATTAATTAGAAGTCTATTTATTTAGTAGTAGTAGTAAGGTTCGGTAAGAAACATAAAAAACTTAAAGCTATGATACAAATGCTTGTTTTTTTAATGAAAACAAAGATGTTAGCGTATAAAACTTCATAGTAGTTTACTTATTGTTACGGGAAGTTAAATAAATATAATTTTTCAGGAGTTTTGAAAAATATTTCCATACACATTATAAAATTACTGAAAAATTATGTTGTTACATAATTTTATTGGGGATATTAAATATTTAAAAAAAATTAAGATCTTAACTTCAAAAAGAAATATTATTTTTTAACATTTTGCGGACTTAAAGAAGGCAAATTTTTCATATTTGGCTAACGATAGTTTGATTAAGGTGAAGTTTAATTTTAAGAGATGATTGAGTTTCAATTGAGTATTTGCATCATGATGAGAGTTATAAATATCGATAACTCCCCTCAATGGGCGTAAAAAATGTCCTTTACGCCCTTTGAGCCTCGTAAGTATTGATAAATAATAAGACATCGAAGCGAAACATCTCTTTACTAATAACTACGAATTCTCAAAACCAATTCTAATTACCGAGTAAATTCTTTATTCAAAGTCACAATAAGCTCATGTCATAAGGAAGTCATCAAAGAGGATGTTTCTTAGAAAAAAAACAACCCCTCAGCGGGACGAAGTAAGAAACTCCGAGATTATTCTTCACAAGAACAGAACTCGGGTTACTTGATAATATTATCACAATCTTTATTTGTGGGGACAATGAGGAAGGGCCAGTTGTATCCGGTGGTTAGTACAATGCCCGTAACCGAGCCCTTAGTAATTCAACCTTGCATGAAATGGCGTAATGAGCTACGAGATTACGGACAAGGACGGTGAAGTTGTATCGCGTATACATACTTACGAGTATAAGAAAGTCGCTGCCCGAACTCATCTAACTTACTTACTTTGTATACTTAGCTACGTAGTAATTATTTTCTGAGAACACTGGTTAAGTATATGAAGTAACACTAGTATTAGTCGTGAAGAAAAATTGTTGTATTTTGAAATTGATAACGTAGAACAATATAAACATTTTAGTGGTAGGATTCAAAATAAATGTTGTGAGTACTAAATGTAATACCTAATTGACAAAAATACATTATAAACTCAACATATAAATTTCTATATCGTATTATCACGTTATACATTCAAGAGCGTTCATCTTACTAATATTATAAAAGTGAAAGTTTGTATGTTTAGTACTTAATCAATCACGCAAAAATGGCTGAACGGATTTGGATGAAATTATGCACACAGACAGCTTTAAACCTGGAAAGTGTTTTTATCCCAAAAAAAATACCTGGGAGATTTTAGAAAAACTAAGTTGCAGACGAAGTCGCGAGCGGCCGTTAATTCTAAATTATGGAAACATTCCCGAGTTTGCTTGTATTCCTGGTGCGCAAAATCTCGGTAACTTTTAGTGAATTTGATTCCTTCAAGACTGCGTGCTTTATCTTAGGTCACGTCATCGATTTCAATCAGAGATGAGGTCGAAGGCGAGACTATTTTCTACAAAAAATTTCATTAGCATATTTTACACATTGTCAAAATTAAAATTCATTTCAAGCTTGTTGTTGCTGTAAAATAACTATTTGTGATAGGTAAATATTTTTTCTCATAATAATTATTATTACTTGACTAAGGATCGCTCTAACATTTTAAATTACCGAAGAATATAAATAACTGGTGTTATTGCTTAATTTAAATAAACTTTGCAGAAATACCTGTCCATTCTTTCATAGGACACGAGGTGGATTTTTTTAGGTACAATAAATATTTAATTTATTCCCGATTCATAGAAGTAGGTAAGTAAGAAAATATTTACCCAATATCGACTTTTGAATCTTCTTAACTTACTTTAAAGCATATACATATATTCGCAAAACGTATTTGTGATTCTCAAAACCTAGCTTTGAAATAAGCTTTACTTATATCGGACATTATCGTAAAATTACAATCATCAACTGACCACGAATTCGCCTCCGGACAGATGATGATTTAGATGCAAAGAATGCATCGATAAGGGAGCTCCGTCGCCTTGGCAACGGGAGGGTACCGCCGCCCTTGCGTCTAGTTCACGGACACTTATCGTTATCGTAATAAATTGGTCTGGAATTCGTGCGATAACTTCAAGGGGAATCGGAATAAAGTGGAAAGCGTTTTCTGGCGAGACAGTAGGCTTTTATTTTTCATTTCATTATTTCGCCATAGTAATTTCCAAAGAGAATATTCGCTAAATATATGCTAGATCAATATTGTTAAATAATAACCACTGTAGCATGTAGCGCATGTGTATATTTACACTCTATTTTTTATTTTCTCTTTGCCAGCCTGTAATAAAAACTCAAAGCAATTGCTGTTAACTGTAGCTGTTAACTTGAATTTAAATGCAGTGATATTTCACTGCATTTAAACTGCCAAAATTTTAAATGTAAGTATAAATCTGATCAATAAAAAACTTATAAATTATTTGATTTTTCGTTTGAAATTAATCCATTTTGAATTCTGATACATCTGAGTTTTATATACAAATTGATATGATGCTTCTTATTTTATAACTACTATTAAGAGAGCTTCAATAAATGGGTACCACGCTAACACAAAGATAAATTGTAATTCTCTCTTTAACATTCATAAAGCTACACTAGTCATTAAATAATAAATCAAGATGTTAAGGCTCGTTTAAGTTGATGAATCTTAAGTAGATCGCCTGTGGCTTTGCACTTTTGAAATTTGATATATGGAGATCCTCTCAGAATTTATAATGCTTACATAAGGGGAATATTACGAAGACAATTCCGAAGAAGGCGTAGATTTTTTTTTATAATTGTAAATGTATTTTCCGTTTTTTTTTATTAATTCACATCTCTAGTGCTTGATTGAGTGACAAATAAAAAAAAACTAATTTACCCATGCAGATAGAGAATTATTTTATTATTCGATATTGGTTTACGCTTTAGCACTATTGCGTCTGATAGAAAACGTCAATGTAGTCTAAGATGCAGTACACTTATTTATTCTCAGTCACAAATCACACACTTCCTTTGAAGACTTGACAAATTGATATAGTTCGGAAAAACTAAGTCAGGCAATGAAACCACTCTAGGAAAGTAAACATAATAAACGCTGATACAATACAAGGCGTATTGTTAGAATATCAATGACATAAGTTAGGTAAGAGTGTAGATTAAGAAATGCCCTAACCTAGTATTCCGATAGTAAATTGGACAGACACGCTACTATACGAAGTTTAGTGAAGTATGTAGGTTTCCGTCTACCAGCTCTTTATTATCAACAAGTCTCCTGGTATGTTTCTATATTGAGCCGAGTGTAAGAAGTTTATCACGAGACTGTTGAGTAAAATATCCAATCAATGCCTAGTACAGCAATGTTAATATTTAAATAGGTAAGAGAGTTTTCTAACTCACACTTGTATTGATTTAACTGTGAACAAGCCAAAGGTTACATAACGTTAACATATTTATAATTATCTATGAATTTTGATACTCTAATCAGCGCTACAATTTCATTCATGGAAATAAAAGAATGCGCTTTTTACAATCCTTACTTTACGAAGCGGAGAATTTCACCGGAAACGTTCTGAATTTCTTCGTGTATTTACGAAATTTGAAGCCTCTATTCTAAAAAAATTTTATAAATTATAACTAAAATATTGTAACAGACTTTTTGATTATATGCATCTATCTCGCCAGTCCATATAAACTGGCCCTCAATAACTCAAATAGCCTGATGAGAAACCTAATACAGATTATTGTCACATCGTCCCATCTCCATGCTACATAATATACAACACATATAATGTAAACACGATGTGAAGTCCCGTCGCCCGATTTATTACCCGGCGACTGATTATGATATATCGACGTCGGCTGCTGTGTTGATCGCCACTTACCCTACCCTTATCACAGAGCATGTAATTTTGGATTCATTGCCCTCGGCTCCAACGCGATGGGGACCTTTATTAAAAGTAAAATGTTTCATATACCTCGCAAATATTCTGGCTCTCAATAAGCTATTAATTAAAGCTTACTTATCAGTGAAGCAGATAATTGAATATATTTAAATTACGTTCTTCAAACAAACGTTGATTTATAGTCAAGTTATTTTGTAATATTTATTTTGCATTTTTCTTTACAGGTTCTTGTTGGACATGAGAGGATGAGCCATGGAATCACGCAGCGCGCCGCCAAGCCCCGACGAGCCGGGGGAGGCGGTGTTCGACTCTCGGTGTGGACACTACTCAGCGTCTGCTCTGCAGAGGACGTTCGCAAGCTGTCGCGAGACGGGACGACCACGGCCGCATCACCGCCATGCTGCCTCAGAACCGGCTCGACCCGACGACCGAGTACTTACAACCGCCGAAGTCCACGACTACCCATCCTCCGAGTCCGGAATCGCAGCCGACTGCCCACATCCAAACACAAGCAACGCTGATGATAGCCCTTCATACGATCGCTCTGATTATGAAGGCAATTCAAATTACAGTCTCCGACGTACACCCGAATACCACCATACATTAGACTGTAAACATCGACCCATAGACTACAACCGTAGTCGTACGCCGGATTTCAACCACAGTGACAACTTCCATCCTAGGTCGCAAACTTCGAGAAGACCACATAGGAAGCACAGGCGTGAAGAAGATGATGGAGCGCAGTCACTTGATGAACGATGTGCTCGTGACTTAGATGAAATCTTGCCAGCAAGATTAGCAGCTGTTAACCTATCTAGGGAGCAGCCTCCGCAAACATGGAACAGAAGTAATATCGCGGCAACCATGGAGCGATTTGAACCTGTAGATTATTCATATGCCTATTATGATCATCATTTATCAATGCCTTCATCATCACGAAAGGCACATCGCCAACGTGGCAGAGGTGGAATACCAAGAGATCGATCTGCGCGGCACAATTATGTGACAAGATATGGTACAGAGGAAAATATTTATGAAGAAATAACTGATGGTACAAGATCTTGTCCCAAGCATCGGTACGCTCCTCGCCAATCTCTTGTGTCACTGGACAGAACTGTTGTTGAGGAGGAAGTTCGCCGGGTAGAATCTAGGCATAAACGAATTTTAGGCGAGTTAAATCTTAGCGTAGAAGCAATGTTAATGCCTGAATGTGAATCACCTGACTCAGAGCGAGCTGAAGACAGAGACAATATAGAAGAGCTATTACGGGTGGGGCCTACAGATGAATTATTGTCACCTGCTAGCTGTAATCCGCCAGATTTGGATAGCGGATTTAGTGGTAGTAGTAGTGGGGCAAGCTATGTTGGCAGCTTGCGAAGAAAGCCCACTGGATCCGTACCCCATTTGCCAGCCGTAGCGTATGGTACCAGAGGAGCAGGTGTACGCATACTGGGTACAGATGAATGTGGCATACGATGTACAAAAGATGCTACGTCGCCAAGGAGTTCCAGCTGTGGAGATGCAAAGAATACTGGATTTTGGAATAAAAGAGCCTGGAAAAAGATATCTGGATTCTCTAGCTCCAACAGCATCAACAAAGCTGGTCTCACTGGTAAGGTCATTATTATTCACTACCATTAAACTAGTTAGCTTAACACATGTACATAGATAAGCAAATACATACATTATAGATGACATGAACCTATCGTTTATGCGTCGTATATCGTCCTTTGTGGAAATCAAAACAAACTTAATTTTTAATCACTTTATGAAATAGCGATAATATTCTAACATTCATTAAAATTGATACACATTCTACATTTCGCTTTAGCAAATAAACAGAAATAAAGATTAAATTCCTTTATAAGTGGGAATGAATTGAAACGGTATCTAGTCGTGAAAACCCTGAGCGTATCATCCCTTTATTATTTTCGTCCGCTTTCGTCCGCCCAAGGGCGTTTTCAGATGGACGCGCGCGCGTTGCTCTATGTTTCGTTGTTTTCTTTTTAGTTTGTCCGTTTCTTTTGTTAACGGTGCGGCGTTTTGCATTGCAGGTCTGCTCGTTAGGTACACTTTCCGGCGTAAGTCCGGCTCGCAGGGCTCTCAGGGCAAGCGGCGGGCAGAGCCTGTCAAATGCGATGCGTGCCTCTCACAACGATGTTAACCGCACTATGGTAAGGGCCCACAACACATCATTGAAAGTTTGCTGGTAGAAAGTAACACAACTAAAGAAATCCAAAGTAATAAAGTAATCTGTCTTTCTACCAGTAATTTCGTATGTTTATTTTTATTTTTTTCCCCGAGCATGACAACACAATTGGCTATTAGCGCGTCCATAAAAATTAATACTGCCTCTTGGAGGGTTCCTTGGTCCTACTTTTTACTTTATTTTAGTGTTTTATCAACACATTTTTTACGCTTAAAACTTAGGCAAAACACGACCGTATAAATCTATTGTTAATAAGGGGAAAATCGAAACAAGTAGGGGAGTCAGTAACAAGCTACCGGGAAGCGGTCGGGTCTGAAGCGATTAAGAAAGTTGATACAAAGTTCCCTCATTAAGGTATTGCAGATATTACTTCTGCAAACTTCAGCTCGAGATAAGTATTGTTCCGCAAGAACCAAGACAATAGCATGCGCTACCACTTAATTAAGCCTCTTCGATACGATATGAGCGGAAACTTTCCGATTAGTTCGCCAAGACAAACAGACGATCGTTTGTTTTAAAAGATATTCTGTTAACTTGATGCTTAAGTTGAAATATCTTGGTTACAGATGAAGCCTGTAGGCCAAGCAGAACTAAATCCAGAACATCTACTATACCGTACAGGTTAATATTCAGTATTTTTACATGATCGTCTTTTTTATATTCTAGTCAAACTTCAGCCTTTACGTCAGTGGATACAATTAAAAAGGGGAGGTACGAGAGCTTGAAACAGACATATCATATTCAACTACGCAGTTATCTAATATTTAATTGCTGGCTTGACAGTCTGGATACCCGTACAGTACACCATTTACAGAGCGACTGACTAAGATCCAAAGCAAATCCATTTGCCTGCTAGAAAAAGTAGCAAAGGTTCTTAATCTGAGAACTTTCTTTCTTGAAACTCCTCAATATATCCCCTGCGTAATTACTACACCCAATACACTATTGGTTGTGTATATTTTGTGTGAAATCTATTGTGTAAATTTTTAGCCCTTTGATTATAATCGTAAGAGATTCTGATAATACCTATTTCGTTATTCATTTCTTGAAAATGTCGAATCAGATTAAAAATCAAAAAGAACACTATTGAGCCATTTTAAATGCTGTATTTCTCTAATATACTTCTTCTGCGCGTGTAATTTAAAGCTAGTCTTTGTCAGATCACAGAATCTTAATTATCTTTTGTCACTTCACTTAAAAATTGCACACACAAAACGCTGATTCGACGTCGTCGTTCGTATTGACGCCGTATCTTCCCTTTTTGATTTCCCCCAAGTTTCCACCTAATAATAATTTTGAGTGTTTCATTAAAGATTTTGTAATTATTGTGCGGAAATCGATCGGTGTTGATATTACGTTTGTTTTGTTACAGCTACTCCAACGGAAAACTGGTGGTGCCGCTGGATTCCCTAGCACAGAGCTGAGGGGTGCAGCCCCCTTGCCATCCCCGCTTCCAACTCCTCCGAGGGACTCCTAAACACAAAGGGACAAAGATAAACAGAAACACTTTTGATCGTGCGACTTAAAACTACGGAGCCGCCGTTTTTAAACATTCCATGATTGTAAAGGGACATTTATCGACACCTCAGTGCGTCTCAAAGACGAGGGTGATACCATTGTATGTAGATAGAAAAGGACAATCAAATATTTACGATACGAAACGAGGAGGTATACGGCGCAGTGATAGAAAAGCCTATTTAATTATTTGTATTGTTATGACAATCGTTTCATAGAAACGTAGTAACTGCGTTGTTGTTACTTATCAATTTTTAGTAGGTCATAGGTACATGAAAAGGCTGACACAGTTGAATCAGATTTTGTACATTATTAATAAAGCTGCCATTTTAGCTATTAATGTCCGTTTTTGATCTAATATTTTGATGTTCAATATTTAATTATTCTGACGTGTAAACTTTAACTTAATAGATACTTAATTTGTTCATAATGTAACGTATTTGTCGTAATTCTCTTTTCATCGAAATGAACATAATTTTGTGACATTACTCATTAAAGTGCATTTGCAAAGGTTGCTTAATAATTTGACTGTTTTAAACGGCGCTAAATGTTGTACCCGAAATAGAACACTTTATTCTGTATAGTCGACAATTTTAAATAGTTCACATATATAATTATGTTTACATCATCGAACATTGTTCCAAAACTATTTGTAATTTTAAAAATTGAGAATTCAATTGTAGACGCTATATAAATGGTCCAACCCCGTTATTTTAATATTGTATTTAGTGATTGTGTAAAAATTGTTTTATATAAATTAAAAGATGTTATTCGAGACACATAGCGTAATTGTTAATATTTTATAGCAATTAGGTTGTATATTATGTAAATAATATCAATGAAAAAAAACATGGTGCACTTTCTTCGTGTTATTATTTATGTACATAGGTACATGTATAGTCACTTCCACACTTGCTTTAGATAGTAATTACCAACGTACTGACTTTCATATTTGTATTCGAATAAAAAAAATGAAAAAAGTTTATGAAAGCTATGTTAATAAATCAATGAACATGTATATCTAATATGGCCATATTATTTATTTATCAGCAAAAATAAAAGGTAAAAAAAACTCTCTAGGTACCTTTCTCTTTCAGTGATCTGATTGGAAAAGTAATACAATATTGTCTTAATTTAAATATGCTCTTAAAAATATGGAACGGGAATTAACAATATAATGTGCGTTCGTATGTATACACGTTATTATTCGTTAGAATACAAACTTGTATACAAAAAGAATCAAATTAATCAAAGTTGCTCCAGAACACATTTTTCATTTCAGTCATAACTTCATTCATTTTGCGTTATGATTATTTCTATAGCATATCAGATATGCATGTTCATAGATGAAAAAAACTTGTCCAAAAATTACATTTAAGGCAATCTTAATTTATCAGCTAACTTTTTAAAACTCAACATTGTGTAAATAATGATACCTACTTGTTAAAATGGATTCGGAATCGGTCAGTGAAACTTTGGTTAAATATAAACTACCTATTGTTTACCGCCACTAGACTGATGGTGAAACTTGTTTAATCACAATATTACATGGAACATTTCTTTAACTGTCTGTAATTTAGTGATCGTGTTCAAGTCAAAAGAGATTTTTATTAATAAATCGTGAAAAAAGTGTTTTTGATGTTTCATTCCACGTGGCCTGTCTTCACCTTGTTTCTTTAAATATCATATTATGACACTAATTTTATCATCTTATTTTGAAAAATCCATTTAACATTATTCTAGAGTTGATGTTGTTCTGAAATGAGAGAAGTTGTGGCGGCGAAATTTAGACGCCTCACATATTACAACAGATGGTGCCACCGGTGCTGCACTCAAAAAGTATTGAAGCCTTACACATTGCGCAAGAGAAATACGAAGGTTAAGACTTCATATTATGTACAATGCTCGAATGACCAACATCAGTCGGGCCGCGGCCCCCGAGCTACCATCACCCAGCTTGGAGGAAGATCTCCCCCTTTGGCCTTCCTACAACCTCATTAAGCTCAGAGTTGATTTAAAACTACATATTTAAGTTTCTCTTTTCAGTGGATAAGATTTTCATGTTACTTTAGCGACAGTTTTTTTTGGTGATACATAGTATTCAAATCACTTTAATGTAATTTCATATTATACTGACCACAAAATTGTAAGGGCATTATTTGACATCAGTCGGGCCGCGGCCCCCGAGCTATCATCACCCAGCTCGGAGGAAAATCTCCCCCTTTGGCCTTCCTACAACCTCATTAAGCTCAGAGTTGATTTAAAACTACATATTTAAGTTTCTCTTTTCAGTGGATAATATTTTCATGTTACTTTAGCGATAGTTTTTTTTTGGTAATACATAGTATTCAAATCACTTTAATGTAATTTCATATTATACTGACCACAAAATTGTAAGGGCATTATTTGATTTAACTGATTTGAGTAGGTATTTTATTGATGTAGGTGCATCAAGAACATAAACCCATACATTCATATCAATCTTGAGTGTAATAAGCGAAAGTTGTTGTTTAAAAGTAAAAAAAAAAACTTATTTAAAGCAAAAAAAAACTACTCAAAGTTCATTTCATTACTTTTGAGGATATTGATTTTGATAATTACCAAAGTTTCTTTCCATAAATAGTTTGAAGACTAGTGATCATCGCTCACATCCTGAAAGTCCAGTACCACAAACTTCATCTACTTATAAACTAATGTCTTTACCGAGAATCATTATGAAAATGTTAAAAAAAGAATAAACGATCCATTGTGCACTCAGGCTTCGGCCGAATTGACAAAAATATCACACAATATTAAAAAGTAAACTCACTCGCTGTGATTAAAAATAGCCCAAAGCCCAAATTAACCCTTTCATCACGTAAATATACCCAGCTGTGAGACTTCCTCAATTTTAGGATGGAGTTGCAGCTTCATTCACGTCCAAAAAGGCTTTCACCTCATGCTGAGAACAATTGCCCTAAAATTCACCACAATACACCTCTGATGCGTATAAAATTTCGCTCAGCTCGCCGCTAAATAGGGAAGGCAGGGAATCGGGTCTTTTGTACCTCTCAAAAGGGTTAATTGTTTAATTGCCAATAAAATAAAAACAGCATTCATCGTCGTGAGAGTGCCCCAGTAGTCGTGTACAGCTGCTATTGGATAAAAAGCGCTTTATCGCTTTATGTTCAGTCCGTACGCAATATTTTGCCTCTATAATTCATAACGACTTAACAGTGTACTGTTGTTTTCATTGGCAACGGATTATAAATCGCAATTTGATTACAAAAATAACTCAAGCCACTTCTAAATAAATTTGTACACAAAAACGTGATTAATATTTTTTATATTTGTTCGTGGCATGACTTTGTGAAATATTAGAATGGACGAACTCTTATGGCTGATAAATTAAATCTTGGATGGATGTCAAGGATACATTTGACTATCGTTTTCGCGAAACTAGCTTTTCTTACTGGGCGGCAATATTTTTCTCAATGTTTCCGATTTCTCTAGATATCCAGATAACATTTCAGCTGCCTCGCGACTAATTGTCAAATTCTGTTTGATATAAAGGACATGATTGTAATGGAGCTATCAATCGCCTATGTCGATGTGTTGTTGATATACCATTCATCTGATTTTAAACTAAAGCTATAAAGCTGAAGTCCTTTAGATTGGTCCATCGGAAAAATAGTGAAGATGTTGCTGAATATGTCTTCTTACCCGACTACGCGCAAGAGCGCGAAACGCGACGCGCAGACTTGTTTTTTTCTTTTCAGTTTTTGTTAGAAGTAATATTTAAGCAGTAGGGTTTTTTGATTGTTTAAATTTACCTTTTTTAGATAAAATATATTTTTAATGTTATTTTTCAAGTGAACGTTTGAGCAATTTCAACAGAATGTGTCAAAATTTCATCTTTTTTTGTAGATGGCAGGCCTCGTACAACCTGTCAGTCTTGATACCGATCATATACCAAACCTAACCTTTTCCCCCTACGCTTTTGATGTCACACTTGGCCGTATCAAAGCAACCTTGGGTTGAAATTTGAAACGAGATGTCAAATAAAACTGTTGTCACCTAACCTTTTTTATGAGTTTTGGTTTGCAAATTACAATAGTGGACGTGAAGTAACTTTTCCAATGGTTTTTTTGCTCCTCCGTGGCTCTGAAGGCACATTAAATCATTAGTCCTGGTTGCCTATACATTCGTTAGCCCCCACCAGTCCGCACTTGGTCTATATAATGGGCCATGGTACGTTCTTCCTATGCTATTTATAGGGAAGTTCCCCAGCAGTAGAAACACTAAAAGGCTTATGATGATAATAATGAACATATTCAAGATATTCACTAACTCTACCCAACGTAGTTCATTACACCCTTAAATTGCTATCACCACGCAGTCTAGCTTGAAATGTTGTTCACCCTGATTTAGATTTATTTGACACTCGCATCTCACAAAGGGGCCTTCGTATCGATGCTAGCTTTTATTAATCTGTTATTCGTGTCCTGGGTTTGTGTCCTCAATTAATAACAATACAGGGAGCTCAGATTGAGCGTTCCGAGAATTAAAGGCCAAAATATTGACACAGATGCCGTTTCAAGTTAATGCGACCGAATAGATGCTCTTGTTTTGCTTCAATATCAATTTTCATACTAATTAACAGAGCTGCGTGTGTGTTAATGGATTTTATGGGTTCACTCATTGTGTCGTTTGGTGTTATAAATGAGCTTCAAAGTATAGTAGTGATTTGTCACAATTAATCAACATTTGTCATACGTATAGTCTGTTAAATATGAAACAAAATAATCAATCACCTAGTCTTCGCTATTATAGGAGGGAACCTTAATGGGGATTTTAGGATTTACTCGAGCGCGGCAGAATAACATAAGGGAGGCAACCTTGCAGCTCGTGAAGCACTTCCACCATACCTGGCGCTCGGATGCCTTTTGTTTTTGTTTACCACTCTTCGGTTTCAGTAGGAATAAGTTTCACGCGAATCAAATGACTACCGGAAGCTCGGCAGCTATTATAACACACAAAATATTCAACACGGAGTATTTATATCCTCCAGATACTTCAACAGATTTCCTTCTAATAGTTTCACTGTTATGGTAGCCATACACACTACGAGAAATCGTTACGATCAGACTGTACAGTCGAACGGAACAGTTTATCGTACGTGGCGTACGTATAGGAAACTGTGCAGTTTTATAACATACACGCTACGATTTATCGGTACCGTTCGGACGGTACAGTTTAATCGTAACGATTTCTCGTAGTATGTATGGCTACCATTAGGGGTTACCAATATTCAGAATTGCAAAATTTGGACGTGATGTAACCCATTCATTGGTGAATTACAATAGTAGCGATGCAGAAAGGTCCTTCCGATGCACCTAAGTAGCCTGAGATGAACGATGAGTGGACGTTACCGTTCGTTACCATCCGAGGACCGGCCCTGGCGAGAGTTGCTTAACTTCCTCAATCGGAACACAACTACACCATTGAACTCAGTATTTAATAATGAGCTTTATCAGTATATACATAAAAGGCAACCGATACTGATTGACTGATCTATCAACGCACAGCTATAACTACTGAAAGAATTGCGCTTAAATGACAATGACAGATTCTGACCCACCATATACAAAATATTAAATTTATGAAAAATATATACGATTTATTTTGTCGTGCCAATTTAATTATTACTTTGTAAAATCGTAGAATACGAAATAAATATTAAAATAATTTGTAGCTACTGTTTCCGTTAGGAGAAGAACGAAAACATGGCATATGCGTTTTGTTTCACGACAAACAATAAAATGTCAGTCAAGTTTTCGAAAAATATCGTTCTCTTTTTTTTAACATTATGGATTAAATAAGCATTTCGGTTATAAATATAATTATTTTTATGTTTAAAAATAAGTTTAACAATTATAGTACCTTTTATTTTGTATGCGCATACACAATATTAAGTGGTAGTACCTATGTGAAACTAAACGTTATTTTGGATATCCTTTTGTTTGAAATTTCCGTCAAACAAAAGGATTTGAACGACATTGTCGTTTGTGATTTGGAACCATGTTGAGATGCATAAATTGTTATTTATGTGTCGATAGAATACAAAGGCATGTCGTGTATACACTATCAGCTACAATACGGACACTGTTGAATTCATGGATATCGTTACAACAGGTTTGATTGATAATTTAATAAAACTAGATATAACGTAGTTAATTCTTATATTTAAACATTTTATTGAAACATATATATTTACTAAACTGTCCTTTATCTATCACCTGAAGCAGTATTATGTCATGCATGTTACTTGCGGTTAAATTAGAATTATCGCAATGGAAACATGGACGCTGCAAGAGAACTGGGGAAAAAACGATAAAAAGAAAAAACGATAAAACGAAAATAATAAACGATATAAAGTTAAAATTCGTGTTTTAATTTATTGAAAAATCACAAAATTAAATGTACAACCTTTGCTCTTAAGCGCTGTAAGCAAAGTATTAGTAATAAGAATATACTACTAGTAGAATAGTCGCGATATACAAGACTTCACTATGGCACTATCTGCTAGCTAGGTTTTGCTAGACCTAGACGATTCTAAAAAAGGAACACATTGTT